AAGGTAGAAGAGAATCTAAATTGTGAATTAAAACTAAAAAGGGGGGGAAATGGAGGGCTGAAAAGTACTCAGATACAGAGGAACGGATTTTGTAACTTTATGATTTTAAAATTGTCATCTAGGTTTACTGAAGAACAGAATAACAATTATCTAGATACTGTGCCAACTATCGTAGTATCTGAGCAATTCAAATGATGCACTGGAAATGAAAATGGCCAGCAGGTGGCACTTGTCACTCGGTATAGAAAACAGCAGGTACTGAATGAGCAGGAAACAGCACAGTTAGGAACAGATTACTCATTCATCTATTCAGAAAGGAGAAAGTGGAATGGTCTGCTTCAGGCACAAAGCTATAAAGAGGGTTTGGCTTGCTGCCACAGCTTACCAATTACATCTTGAATTTGAGCTCTCTTCTTAGGTTTATTAGAGAAAACTTACGTATTTCCCTTAACAAATATGATTTGCAATATAAGTTTGTTGCTTTCATAAGTATTCTCATGTCCTTTTTGTCTGTATTTATCCTGTGAGATTATGAGCAGATCTGTGCTGGAACTGGGCAAAAAGGAAACAAATTCCAACTTCACCATTTAAAGATGTGTGACTTGATTCCAGTTATTTAACTTCCTTGAACTTCACACTCCCCTCTGTTGTTATAATTGATGGAACTAGCTGGAATGCGGCGGGGATGAAATAAGATACCATCTGTGAAAATGACAGCTCTGGACCGAGCTACTTCATTTTCCCCTAGAGAACCAGATCTAATCATTGGAATACCTCTTTTACCAGAACAGTTTTCTGATTCACTGTGAGTATTCTCTCACGAGGGTGTCCTGTGGGTGGTGCTCCTAGAAATCAGACTTAGTCACTCCACACACCAGTAAGGTGGACGAGGGGTGGAGAGGAGGCTACAGCTGCTGATTCTGATACTAGTACCATCACGCTACTTTTCCTACCATTATTCTCTCCCAGCTGGTTGTCAGTGGCAAAACACCCAGAACCACAGAATCTAAGATCCAGAAACATCTTTGATTTACCTAGTCAACTCTTCATTTTTCATATCAGGATGCTTCTGTCATGAAAGCTGAAATGCAAGAGAGTAACAAATGGGCTGTGCAGATTTAGGTCATTTTTATATTTGCTTCCCACATCTGGTCAATGGATACGTGGGCAGTGGTAGTGGGAAACAGGGAACGAGAGTGGGGAAAAAATAATTACACGGCATGCATCTTATTATTTCCTGATATTGAGAAAATGGGAACCACCAATAGACATCAGGAATCATGGTAATACACTAGCCAGTTCTTGATTTTCCAGTGGTGTCTACCCTACATCCGAATCATGGCTGCACGGAACCTGAATGGCACCAATGCGCTGTTTTTTTGGCTTTTCCATCCTTGTCTGTGTCATATTCAAACAGCACTTCTAAAAAGCAGTCAGAAAGAGAGTGAATTCACATTGAACACTGGATGGTTTTGAGTCTTCTTTCTGGAATCAGACAGCTATTACCAAAATACGGTGGGTTATTTTTGTGAAAGGGAAATTGAGGTCACCTTTCTGAGGTATTCTATTCAGTAATTAACATATTTTATAATGAGTTACATGGTTTTTAAAATGACAGATATGTCAAACAAATGCTGGGTTGATTTTTAAAAATACATAAGTTTAGCATGTAATTTAAAAATTGTTTCCTTGAAGGAACAAGCTTGTGTTCATCTCCAGGTCTTCTTTCCTAATGTTCTTCTCATCTGGAATGTCCTGTCCTTTATCTCTATTTACCCTGAATAGCCTTTAAAATACAAGTGCCAGTTCCTCTATGAAATTTTTTTTTTTTTACTGAAGCTGCCCTCATTATCTCCTCAGTAGAAGTAATGAACTTCTATTGTAATTCTAGTTATGATCTAACAAGTATTGAATCATCTAATAGTGATTGCTAATTTAAAAATAGATGTTAGACTTGGTCCACAAAGGGACTGTATATTATTTGGGGCATGGTCATTTATTGATTAAACAACTATGTACTGAGTACCTACTACACTTCAGGCAGTTTTAGGTAACACAGATTCACACTAAACAAAACCAAGACTATCCATGCACTCAAGGAGTTCACATTCTTGCATTAGTTACTCTGTATTCCACACAATCCCTAGCGTGGGACAGAGCCAAGGGCACATATGTGTTCTATGACCACCTTAAAATGAACTGGTTGCCCGTGGTTGGGTGAACCCTAACCAAAAACTTTTCCTTGACTACCACAAAAACAGGATCTCTTAAGGGCAGTGCGTGCTGGGAGTGTGTTCAAGATGCGAGGATTATTTTCACAAAAGGGGGTGGCTGAGGAGGAGGATGAGGAGCCTATGTCCTTTGAACTGGTGGGAGCTAGTTACTATTTAAGTACTGCTAAACATCTTTGTTTATTTTTGAAACAGACTGAATCTATAGACCTGGCTCAACTTTTCATGACAAATCAACTACAAAAAAAGAAAGAATAAGCAGAACAGATGGCCCAAATCTGTTACACCATCAGCTACCACAACACTCTCTACCTCAATAATGAATAAAACATCCAATTCTAAACAAACAGAAAGGCAATTGAGACTTCATGATTGGCACCATTACTTCCAAGGATCAGCTCTGACCTTTATAGGAAAAACAAAATATCCAGAGACTACAGCAAAGATCAGATCAATTCTGGGTATGCTGAATGCCTTCACCAAGCTACAAGGAGTGGTAAACAAAATAAGAAACAGAACAAATTAAGATATTCCACATTGAAAAGATCTGACTTCACCTAACTGTTTATGAAAATAACTGCAGGCTATCATACTTTTCACTTTGTTGACAAAAAAACATCCAGCCTAAGGGTAAGTTTATAAGAGTTTATTTGAGCCAAACTGATAACAATTGCTAGGAAGCAAAATCTCAACAGATTTGAGAAAATGCTCCACAAAATGGTGGTTTGCAGCTTATTTTATATGTAGAATCAAAGGAGGAAGGTTACATGAAATCCGTTGGTGATAGATTAAGGGGGTAGGAGAAAGCAAAGCAGAAAAATCTCTGGGATTGGATAAAAGTAAATTGGAGAGACAGGTATTCATTTTACATATGTTAGTACAAGATCATTAATAGTTCACTTTTTACCACACATGGAGATGGTAATCAGGGGACAAAAATAATGAGGGATTTTATAGTTTCCTGCTCTGGTCTGGAAAAAAGGGTTACTGACATTCCAAGGGCGTATTATTCTAGATGCAAAAAGATGATATACAGGCTCACATAAGGTAAAGATTGACCTTTGTCAACGAAGCTACAAACTAAAGATGTGACTTCCTGCCATGGCCCACCTTAGTTAGAAATTTTTATGTTCATGCCATCCTCTGTAGTTATTTTCAGTCTCCTGAGCTTGTCAGGTTTAACCTGTGGCCCCTTTTCCATCCACAACTTCTCTCCTGTTATCAAACCCATGACTACAGGCTCTAAACTTGTAGAAAGTTGAGCCACTTTTAAGGGATGGGGAATGCTTAGGGGAAAGTGTTTCCAAGGTGACTGACTCTCAGGATCTTCCCTAAAGAAACCATGAGACTCCAGGCTCAAAGAAGAAGGTTTTTTAGCTGTGATCCCAGGCACTAGCTTATTTGCATGACAGATCCCTAGCAAGATGGGAGAGGAAAGAAGGGGGAACTGGGGTAGAAAAGAAGGTTTATCTTCTGAGAGCCCAGGAATACACGTAATAATAAGGCACTAAGCTCCCACATAAGAATTTTCTATTCAAATGAGCATTTTATGTCCTGACCACTAGAGAGGGTTCACACATTTAGATATATGCTGCTGACCTCTTCAAGTTCTATTTGAGGAAGTTAACAGGCTACACAATTTAAAAATATCGAATTTAGGTGCTAAATCCATAAAGTAAACAGAGACCTAATGACTAGTTGACCAGATATTAAAACAATATTTCTGCATGCCACCTTTTCCTTCACTTAAAATTGTCATGGTTACCTACATTTAGTGATAGTAATATTTTATTTCTTGAATTTTCTTAACAATTAAATATGACTCTAAATTTCTGTGTTAATAGGCTAATATATATTTTTAAGAACAACTCTTTACCTCAAAACTACAACTTCAGCGGGCTGGCCGAGTGGCGCATTGGTTAAGAGTTGGCTTGAGACGCCAGCTCTGAGCAGCAGGGCCCCGGTTCGGATCCCACACGAGGGCCAGTGACACTGCCCTCTACAGCTAAGATGGAGAACAACAGCTTGACCTGGAGTTGGGCTGCTGTGAGTCATGGGTGATGGTGTAGGCTGTAGTGGGGCTGCAGTGGGTTCCTGTAAGCTACCGTGAGTGGCAGGCAGCCGACGTGAGCTGCCAAGATCAGCCGTGAGCAGCCGTCCAGCGACTATCGACCAATCTGCCTCACCCGGGAAGAGTGCAATGATAATAACAACATGGGCCAGTGAAGCCACGTCCTCCACAACTAGACTGAAGAACAAAAGGACAGCAACTTGTCTGTTCCTCTTCCCCAATTCCCCAACACTGTTCCCCTCCCCCAGTTACCCAATAAAATCTTTAAAAAAACAAAACAGAGAAAAACTACAACCTCAGGGAAGAAGCCTAATGAAAAAAAAATGCGTAACTTTTGGAGTCCTACAGACCTGTGTCGCCATCTTGCCCATGTGACCTTTGACCTGCTGGCTGACCTCTATGAGGCACTATGTGCATCTGTAGACTGGAAATAAATTCCCCTATTCCTCATATACACTGCTGTGTAGATGAACTTAGATGTCACATGTATATTATTATTATTTTTTTGTATATCATTTTTAAAGAACTCTTCCCTGTCTGGACCCCTGAAGTACTCGTGTTCACCTCTAGAACAGTCTTAGATGCAAAATTAAAAGGAGATGACAAAAGAGGATGGATAAAAGAGGCTACACATTTGGTAAACCAACAGCTCAAGAGTCTGGGAAGATTTTTGGAAAGAATTAATAATAACAGCTCACCTGCAGCTGCTGTTCTGCTAGACGAGTCTGATACCTTTGGACTGACTCTTGAAGTTGCTTGTCTTTCTCATTTTGTGATGGTGATCCTCTGCTCATGGTGCCCAGAGGGATGGAAGGTAAGCATTCTGCCAGATGACAACTTCACAATCAAAAAGGACAAGAGATAACATCAAGAAAAATATAAAACTATTTACTGTCTGTAAAAGAGTATTTACTTCTACAAGGACTTACTCTCTATGTTTTGTATCCAAAATTTGAATACAAGGGAAGAACACTGTATTGATGCTTTAGGTAATACATGACCTTAAATCTCCAATTGGCATGGAAAAGAGCTTAATGGGGAAAAAAAAAGACCTTAATGTAAAATGTGAAGGGTAGTATGTATTTACCAGAATAGGACATTATTCATTATTTACTAATGCTTCATGTATCCTGCATTATCATGAAATAAGGCCTTTGCAAATATGTTTCTGGATCACTGAAGTTTATCTTTTTACTGCCAAACATTTTTGTCCCCTAAAACATTTGGGCTAGAAATCCATGTGTCTGTCCAGAATGCACCAAATAATTCTGCCTCTGAAACACATGGACCCTTTGTATGATGAATCATGATTACTGTGAAGACAGGTAAATACTGTGATGTACTCACTGATAGCCTTGGGGTGTAGCAGAGCCCTTTATCAAATGGTCCCCGATGCCACCCCCATCCCCACTTCTCCCATCCTTCCGCACCCCCTCCCACCCCCACTCTCCACTGCAACATCCTGTCAGTGTATCTGTTTCTGGTGGCCACTCAGCTTCCCAGTCTTACTGATGTGCTTTTTCTAATCACTACTGGGTTAATACATGTGATTAGAAATACATGTGATATCACCAAGTAGAATTGTGTGTAAATGACAATAACAGGCTGTGAATGAGGGCTTCCTTGTACGGTTATGAAAAATACTAATGACTCTTCAGACATACGCTCGTATAGTTTGGAAGGTCTGAGGGCTTTTTTCTCCCTACTTTTGGTTTTGTAGCTATGTTCTGGGAGCTGCGTTAGCCAAACAGTTGAAAATTTGAGATATTATATTGTTCCCCTTGGTATCGAGGCTTGACAAGGGCAAACTGTTAAGGTCAATTCTTACAGCCTGCTTAAGACAAGGGTTTTTCTATTATATAGGTACCAACAAGAGGAGAAGGGACAAAATAAATGTGCATTTGGCTAGGAGAGGGAGGAAGAGGTTGAGAAAAGAGAGACAGCCTTCTCCCATCTGAAACAGAACACTTAATTCCACCCACTTTTGGTATTTGTTGTTATCTTCAAGGAAAGGTGATAGATAAACAATTCAGGGGACACATACTATATATGCAGCCGCCTGCAGTGTTGAGGTGAAGACATCTGTGGGGAGGTACCTACACAGGTTTCTATTTCACATGAGAAAAGAACCTTGTGGCAACATTGTTTTCTCTTCAGAAAAGAGAAACCACAAATATTTTATTAAAATGCGATCCAGTTAGTTGTCTTCAAAGATCTTTGGAAACAAATTTTAGTGTACAATACAAGCCATAGATTTGTTTTTAACATCCTTTCCAAAATTCAGACTTTTTCGTTCAGTTAAAAGATAGGCATCATTTTTACTCTGCTGGTGACTCCTATTTTCAATGCAGATAAATACACAGCGTGAATGTAATAAAAGCGAACTGATATCTATTTCTTGGGTACTGTGACAAAAATGTCTAGCCTCCATCTATGCTTCAAGTGGAAAACAAAAAGAGACTTCAGCGGCCTGAAAAAGAATGGCTCCATTTTACCCTGTCTGAGTAACTAACTCTGATACCACCATTTGTAAAGTGTTGTATTTTGTCACCATAAAGTATTAGGCTAAAATTAGGCTTGCTCAAAGGTAAAGGGTGCTCTCTGAGAGTGGGTGCGGTGAGACAGAGGGGACAGGTTTTGCATAAAATACTTGGCTTCAACTTTCAGCTCCAGGGAGGAATCCTGGGCAAATCATTGGACTTCTCTTCGCCTCACTGTTTTCTCCTCTGAGAAGCAGAGAAAGTTCACAGGGTTATTGTAGAGATGAAATGAGATAACACAAGTAATTGCTATGTGTGAGAGAGCTGCTGTTATGTTTCCTACCCAAGTTCTGGTTACACACATTGTTTATTCAAATGCTGTTCACTGGCATTAACCCTGCTAACAACTGGCAATAAACTATATTTTCTGTAAATACAGATAATGCCACTTTTCACCCCTTATCCTGTCCTTCTATTCATCAAGTGTTGCCTAATAAATAACTATACTTCTCAGCACTTCAATACACTTACTTTATGTGATCTGTCCAAATCCATTGGAGATTATGTATATCAAGGTTTTGTCTAGGAATAATCTATTTCATAGCATATTCTCAAAGTATGCATGGCCCATCCTACCATATTGAATCAAGAAGACTGAGTGTGGTCATCACATCAATTTCTATTTCCCTGATAATCACCACAGCTACTTGCTGTCAATGGTCTCCCATAAAAGAAGTGTCAACTCTTATGTAACACCCTAGTAATTGGGAGTTTTTCTTTATATATATCCCCAAAATCTCTTGCTGTCACTTTGAGCAGATTTTTGCCATAATCTTTTCAAGGGAAATAAAATACAGGTGGTCAAAATTATGTGCATATATTTAAATAATCAAGGACTTAAGAAATTATAAATATAAGAAGACTTTTTGCATTTTAGGCTTTTAAGGCCCATCCGTTTTCTATCAACATGGCTAAATTTACCTTGCCTGTCCTCACAAGTGGCACTGTTTTGATGTGTAAAAGAGACAGAATTATGCAGCTTTTAAACTAATTTTACAATGCTCTGTGATGGCATCACTACTTTTCAGTGAGAAGAGGGTGAGAATGTAGGTAGTTTGGAGATAAGGGAATCTGTAGAGGACAGATTTCCAGTTCTACAGGTCTAACAATGACTAACACTGGTCAAAGAAGTCATAGGTATATGGTTAGATCTGTGGAGAGGGGCCTAAAATCTCATGGTGTTAACAAGGGGCCCCCCAGTGACTAGAGACTTAGCAGACTAACCTTACAAGGGGCTCAGCTGGACCCAGAGAGATGTAAAAGATAAAATTATTACACCCTATTCCAGGTGATTCCAGGGGAAGCTGAATTATAAAGAGATTATATCACTTCTCCACAAAGTTTTGCAGCTAATGGAGTTAGGAGTCAAACCCAGGCAGACTGGCTCCAGTGTCTGAACTCTAACACACTATTCTACACTGTATGAAAAGTTCTTAGCTCATAGTACGTGAACAATATTATTAACAATTCTTTTTTTTTTTTTGAGGGTTGTAGGTTTGAAATGTGAACCTTTCAAAGCATAGCTCCTTTCACATAGAAATTGAAACAAAACCAAGACATTTCTATTACACAACAGTTGGTTGAAATAATGACACTGACAATGAAAACACTACATGTCAGACTATTCTTAATATTGAAATGAAGCCAACACTTGACTCCTGTTTGGGAGACATTTAAGTTCCAAGTTAAGGCTGGAATCAGGTTAGGAATCAGAAGACCTTGGCCAGTAGCTTCATGAACAAGTTTCTTAGCCCACATTTAGGCTTCTCCTTTCACTTCCCTAAAATGAGAAAGTGAGACTAAATCATTGTTTTATAAACCTGCTCCTTGGGGCTCGAAAGGGAAACTGGGCCATGTGAAATCTAAGAGCCCTATCATTTCTGACATTTTTTCTTAGTTTCTAAATATTATTAACCTGGGGACTCCATGTACAAGGGTTTCAGTAGCAGTTTCTGAATGTTTTCTTCTGTTTTATTTTTTTTGTTGTTTGCTTTTTTCCCAAAGCTGGATAAAAATAATCCAACAAGAGTTATTACCTTAACGTCTATATTAGCAATATTGAGTGACTTATCCAGGCTAAAGAACTTAGAACAAACTCCATGGAAAAGCAATGCTTGACTTAGGGGTACCTGTGTTAAAGGGGTATACTAACTCTCCCCTCCTCTCAAGAACAAGAATATACGTCTAAATGTGCTGATAATAACACCAACATTCATCAATATTTAATCGGTCTTTTTCCTGTTTTAGTCTGAACTTCTTCCTCCAAGAGCACAAAGCAATGAAATCAATACATGGCTTAAAAAGAAAAAGCCCACAGTCTAACAGTTGAGTTCGCCTGGAGACAAACTCTGGATAAAACTCCTGTACAAGACGCTATGCTGCATGAAAATGAACCAAAAGGCAGAACTGTACAATGCTGGATTGTAATCTCCCACCAGTGGAAGCGCAGAGATGCACACCCCAATGTCTGCAGATAATTACATCCAGGTCTCTTTTATCTTGATGGAAAAGCACACTAATGAGTTATCTTTTCAGAGGTGGCAAGGGGCTAGCAAGAATTCTAAGAGATGACAGCTACTAACGCTAAAATGTATCTATGCCTGACATTTTCCAGTTTCACACATATGTATTTTAGGGATTACAAATGGATAAAGAATTTTAGAAAACTATCAGAAACTACCTGTTTTCCAAGGGGTTAGGATTATTAGCACACATCCAGATGTCGAAAAAATCTTTTTCCTGATAATTAGCAGAGGAAGGCAAAACTCTCCATTTAAGGCATATATCTGATAATCAAAACAAAAGCACACATGAGAAAGACTATAATCAGAAGTGAATCTATCATAGTAAGATGTCAGGTTCCATATACCAAAAGTATGAGGTATCTTTTGGTCCAAAGACAAATGAATCCTGGATCATATACCATTATACTTGGTGGTACAACTAGTCTAGGATTCTACGAGCCATCTCAGGACACTACCAATAAATTATTGTTGTTGTTATTATTATTATTATTATTATTATTATTATTATTATTGCTTAAGTTCTTTCCAGTTAATTTCTGCTACTTTCAGCCAAAAAAATTTTAATAGATCCCTCTCCACCTTTTCTTAAACCACATGAAGACTCCCAGTGACTTGATTCTTCCATTTTCTCTGACCTATTATCTATCTGCTGAAGACACCACTTTCCGTCTCCAGCCACATGGCTAAGATAACAAGGAAAATCAAAGTCTCTGAACGGCTTACACGGTTCCTTGTTCTGCACTTTTCCCCCTGCTTTTGTCCCACTATCCAGCCTATAGTATCTGACTTCACTGTCCATTTCTCCCTCTCAGTCTCTACTTGCCTTTAGGACCCAGGCACTCCACTCTCTCCAGGCTATTCTTAACTTTAATCCTGAATTCCTTCCAGACACACTGCTAATGGCTCTTAGGTAAAAACTTCTCTCTGTTCCTCTAAGACGGAGGCAGTTCACACAGTGGTTAAGAACCTGAATAGCTCCACCGCTTACTAGTTCTATCATCTTGGACAGATTATGTCTTTATGTTTCAGTATCATCATCTGTAAAAACAGATTAATATTAGTACCTACCTAAAAGGGTTATTGAGAATTAAAATACATAGTAATAATGATAAAAGACAACACTGCTAGACATTATCTAGGATGGTTAATTTTATGTGTCCATTTGACTGGGCAATGAGGCCCAGATATTTACTCAAACATTATTCTGAATGTGTCTGTGAGGGTGTTTTGGATGCAATTCACATGTGAATGGGTAGACTGAGTAAAGCAGATTGCCTTCCCTAATGTGGGTGGGCCTCCTCCAATCAGTTGAAGGCCTGAATGGAACAAAAAAGGCTGACCCTCTTGCGAGTAGGAAGGAACTTCTCCCTCCTTACTGTCTTGACCTGGGACCATTAGTTTTTTCCTGCCTTCAGACTCAAATTAAACATTGGTTCTTCCCGGGTATTGAGCCTGTCAACATTCAACTGGAATTACATCACTGAGTCTCCTGATTCTCAGGCCTCCGTACTCAAACTGAAATTAAACCAATGGCTCTCCTGGGTCTCCATCTTGCTGACTGCAGATCTTAGGACTTGTTAGCCCCCATAATCATGTGAGCCAAATCCATGTAATATCTATCTATCTATCTATCTATCCATCCATCCTATGGTTCTGTTTCTCTAAGAACCCTAATACATTACCTAAGCACTTAGTAAACTTTACATGGGTTAACACATTTTATTTTGACAAAACTGTGTGGTGTAACTATAAATACTAAACTCATTTTATAAATAAGAAAACTGGGGCTTAGAGAAATTAAGGAATTTGTCTAATTTCATAAAACTCTCAAATACTGGAGATTGGATTCTGGCAGTACCTTGCACATATCTGACCAGTCAGGTCCTCTTTGGACCACCTGATGCTCAAGGTTGGGGAGGTGTCCTTGGCATTGTGTAAATAACAACAGCATTTTGCACACTAGAGTGTTTTTTGTTTGTTTGCTTGGCTCCCTCGCTGGACAGCAGGTTCCTTGCAGATAGTAGAGAGTGTCATTAACTCGCTAACCCTTTGGGTAGTGGCTGGATGATGTATCAGAGGAATACGTGCTCAATGCTTCAATGATGTTACCCTCCTACTGAGAAACTTCCAATGCCTCTCCATTGCTCATCAAAGTAAAAACACCTTATACTGGCATTCAAGGCACTCTCACACGTTTTTATTCAACCTGATATTTTTGTCTCTTATTTACTCATCATTCATTTATTCAGTAGTCAATTACTAAGTACTGACTATATAACACAGTACTAGGTATTAAAAACAGAAAGATGACTGTTTCTATTACTCCTCTCCAAAAATTTTAGCTGAGTGTACACCTGATATTAACACTTCACTCCCACTACATCTCTGCCTACCAAGATTCTATTGTAAAGAGCATGGCAAAGGCTATCTCTATCATAAAGCCATGCCTCAACTTCCTCTTCCTCCTTTTTGAACCCTCAAAGAACTATGTGCCTCTTTTACATCATTTACCGGACTTTCTTCTTTATTACAATTTACAATTATTTTCATGCTTATCTTAATCTCTCTCCTAGACCCTGACCTCCTTCAAAGAAAGAACCAGGTCTTACCCACCACCTTTGTGTCCCTCATGCCCCACCTTTTTTTTGGTAGTTTATAAATAGCTTATCTTGTTCACATTGTGCAGAATTTCGTTATCATCCACAATGTTCGTACAGTAACTAAAACAGAAAGGAGAAAGCTAAGGGGGAAAAAAGGTTCAGAGTGTGGCCTGACATATTTCTAAGAGTCTCTCCTTTAGTCCACAAATAATATCAGTTCTTTCATTTTAGAAGAAGAGTAGACTGTGCAGGGTTCATTTATTGTTCGGGCACCTTCTCCAAAAATGTGATAAAACAGGAGTAAATTCAATAATGAATATCTGAAATTGAAACCAATTTAACTATAGTGAAGGATATCTTTTTTATCCATTATCACAAGTATCCCAGCTGCCTCTGTCTTAAAAAATTCTTTCAAAAGTTAAGACACAACTAATCATATCTTACTAATTCCCTCGAAAGCAAAAAAAAAAAAAAAAGTACCATTCAGCATACAGAAGTTACACATTAAAAGTACATGTATATCTTTCTTACCTGGCTCATTCAATAAATTTACATTTGATCATCCTTACTTTTAACATGTACAGAAGTATTCTTCATGTAAATTTTTAAAAATTAATCAGCACAGAACATTCTTTCTTCTTATTAAAATCTTACCTCAGTTCTTAATCATTGTAAACTTGGATAAACTTGGACAAAGAAACACAAGCAAAGGTTTGTATTGATTTTCTTACTTTGTTGAACAGTTAACATACAAATATCACAAATATTAATATAAATGTGGGCCAACTTATTGCATATTTGACCCTTGAAATGAAAAGTAAATTAGAATTGACGCAGTGTATTGCCATAACTTACCTTGAAGGTAAGCAGGTTCTCCTGTATTTATAGAACTTAGACTGGGAACGTTACCAGTTCTCTCCAATACAAGTGCTTTGAAGGAGAACCTAGTTTTAAACTTTCCCTCATGCCCCATTTCTTAACTCAATGACTTGCATATTTAGGAACTCACTAAATGACTGCTAATTAGAGTGGAATTCAACACTCACCACACTGAATCATAAATGGAATGGCCATGGCTTGTCTTCTTTGATACTGAATAGAATCTAAAGACGTCTCCATGTCCTTGTTATTTTGGTGTCCAAATTCATTCCAAAACAATGTTAGATTTCTATTACCTAAAAAAAAGAAAACATGTAAAGAATAATAAAAGAAAAAATCAATAAGATCAAGATGAGAAGGAAAAGAAAGTTTGGATATAAACAAATGTATATGCAATATTGTCTCAACTATGTAAAAACTAATACAGAGAAATAAGAGATTAAAATATTAATGTTGGTTTTTCTCTGAGTATGGGCGAAATTTGTTTCCTGCTTTATATTTTCTTAATTTCCTAACTATACACAATATATTCGTAATATCTTTATTATAAAACTAAACACAGTTTTACACACACACACACACACACACATATATGTACATATGTATACTTATTTATATTGTTGCAATAAAATGCGCTGACATTTAAAACTTTTTTCTTAAATACTCCCTGGAGAGACAGTACTGATCAAACTTAAAGGCTACCCTTAAAGCTATTGATACAAATACTTATCATCGTGTCTCAGAGTTTCTTTACCTTTATTTTACCTCTGGTTCCCTCTCCTACCAGTCTTTATTGTTTATGCCCTACTCTTATGCCAGATTCTTTACTCTCTCCTTGTTTAGAAACAACACTTGTCAGGAAGGAGCATTCAGGAGTCCTCTTTAAGAGGCTGTGTTCTTAGCCTTTGATGCAGCAATTATACCACTAGGACTCTTTCCCATAAACATACAAAACAATGGCCATATATATTATAGCACTATTTGAATAGTAAAAAAAAAAAAAAAAAAGTTGAAAACAACATAAAAACCTAGAATACAGAATGGATAAGTTCCATTTCCAAACAAGGGAACACTAAGCAACCTTTAACACAGCGAGTTAGAGCTTAATGTGTTGCAGCATCAAGATACCTAATTTTTAAAAAATGTAAAGCATCATACCAAGTATAATGAATTTTTAGTCTTTATCAAAAGCATCTACATATGAAATTTTGATGGACACACTTTTTCCTCAAAGGATTCAAATGAAAGTGTTAACAGTGAATACCACTGGAGAAAGGGATTGTGGCTGAGAAAAAGGCAGGGAAAAATACTTTTACTTTCATTTTTTACTTTCTAAACACATTGATTATCTTTACATGTGCACGTATTGCTTTAAAATATTTTTTTAAACAACTCATGTTTACCATTCTGTCCCATATGGTAACCCTAGCCACATGTGGCTACTGAGCACTTGAAATGTGCCAGATATAGAACATTTCATCAACACACAAAGTTCAAAAAGTGAAGTTCCTAACATAAACATTGGAAATAAAATATATGAAATAGGACCAGCCATACATCAACCTTAACATATGACTATGTAATCCATGCAAAATACAAATGAACATCCTTACAGCTTACTATTGCTGTGAAAATTTAGGCTCATTCTATGTGCCTTGAAGACCAGCAAGGAAGGGACTCGGCCTTCAACAGGGACTTTATAGTTGGGCTGCGCTGAAATTCCCAGGTCTCTCACTTTGTCTCCACAAAATTCCAAACAGCTCTCTAGATTAAAATTTCCTTTTGGATTCTGCTTCTTGGGTTTTTCTCAACTCAGACTTTTGTATTTTTGCTCTTTGCTGAGCATTTGGTCTTGGTCCAGCCCAGACTCTATTTCTTTGCTGCACACCAAATCTTGATATGCTTTTGGTGTCTGCACAGGGCTCATGAAGCCTAATTCTCTGATTTCCACATGAACTACTTAGTTCTTACTAAACCAAAATAAGAGGTGCTATAGATTAAAGTCAGGTGGTTTCAAGTGCTGTCTCTGCCACATATTAGCCATGTAATTGTGGGAAGCCACTAAACTTCCTTATTCATAAAATGAGTGTTTCCAATAACCTGCCTAACAGGTTTATCATAAAGAATAAATGTGAATGCACATTAAAAACTACAGCACCCTGCAGAAATTTAAGTTGCTTCTTCATTGTCTTTGTCCTCTCTCTAAATGTTACTTACCCCAGAAGACTGTACCTTTCAAAGGAGGACACATGCTTTATAACTTTGCATGTCCTCAACACACAGCTTAGCATCCTGTGCCCAAAAGCCCTAAAAAATTGTTGCTGCTACGCTTGATAAAATACCTCAATGATGTGTTGTTTGGGGTAAAATGAAGGTGAAAAATGTCTCTTCCTGAAAACATTAACTAAATACAGTTAACACAACACAGCTAACTTCTAACAAGTATCAACCATAAACTCCAACACAAATATTTTAAGAATGGTAAAATGACCAGGATGTTAGAAACATGAGCACACACTCCTCACGGTGGAATGATACCTGCTCTGTGATCACACAATTCTTATACTGCTTACACATAACATTTTAGTTCATTTTGGGCCTATTTTCCCCTCTGGATAGTGAAATCCTAGAAGACAGTAGTGATATTTGGAATCTTGTTTTCAGTAGCTGACACACAGAGCTTAAAGTTTACTTATAGAACTAAATAATGCTAAAGATTTAATGTCTATCAAAGGCAGAAATTAGAACATTTACTATCCCAAACATCTAGTGACCAGGTGAAACAGAAGAAAATATATCATTCAAGGCAAATATCAGAGCAAAGAAATCAATCAGTGTTCTACTCTGGGGATCAGAAATGGCTTTTCCTAACTGCCAATGGAAATTTGACTCTTTCTCTTCAGCAAGAAGTTAGTCCAACATCCACAATGTGCAGTTGTGCTTATGGTGTTATTAAAACAAGTTTCCATGAAGTAAACTCTGAAGACTAGGTAGGTGCTTTAGCAAGCAGATAAACAAGTTGGCCAAAGGGAAGGCAGTGGGAAAAAACCTATCACATTAGTTTCTGTTTTCTTTTATGTGTTACTCAGTCCACAGAGACCTATACAGCTACCTTCAGAAAAAATTTCTTCCCATATAAGGGAACCCCCATCAGACTATCAGTGGGATTTTTAGCAGAAACTTGCAGGTCAGAAGAGATGGGATGATATAATCAAAAGGCTGAAAGAAAAAAGTATTAACCAAGAATATTTAACCAGGAAAAACTGTCCTTCAGAAATGAAGGAGAGATAAAGAATTTCCCAAACAATAGCTGAGAGAATCCATTACTACTAGACCTGCCTTACAAGAAATGCTAAAGGGAGTTCTTCAAAAGGAAATGAAAGGAAACTAATTAGTAACTTGAAAAGATGAAAATATAAAACTCATTGGTAAAGGGAAGTATATAGTCAAATTCAAAATACTCTAATACTGTAATGATGGTGTATAAATCACTTAACTCTAGTATTAAGTTTAAAAGACAAAAGTATTAAAAATAAGTATAGCTACAATAAGTTCTTAACAGATACACATATAAAAACATGTAAACTGAAATAAAAAACATCAAATGTGGGGGTGAAGAGAGTAAAAAAAGTAGAGTAATGTATGCAAAGTGAAGTTGTTATAAGTTAAAATAGACTGCTATAAATATAAAATGTTTTATGTAAGCCTCATGGTAACCACCAAGCAAAATTATTTGTATACAAAAGATAAAGAATTTAAAGTATAAGACTGTAGAAAATGGTATTACAAAGGAAGAGCAGCAAAAGAAGAAGAAAGAAACAAAAGAACTACAAAACAACCTGAAAACAATCAGATGGTAATAGTAAGTCCTTACCTATCAAAAATTATTTCAAATGTAAAGGATAAAATTCTCCAATAAAAAGGCATAAAGTGGTTGAAAACAAGACCCAAATATATGTTGTCTACAGGAGATGCACTTCAGTTTTAAGGACACATTTAAGCTTAAAGTAAAGGGATGTAAAAATATATTCCATGCAAATGGAAACCAAGAGCTATACATATCAGACAAAATACACTTTAAGTCAAAAACAGTAACAAGAGACAAGATTATAATATAATGATAAAGGGGCCAATTCAGCAAGAGGATATAATAATTGTTACTATATATGCACCCAACATCAGAGCACTTACATATATTGAGCAAATATTAACAGATCTAAGGGCAAAAATAGACAGCAATGCAATAATAGTAGGGGACTTCATTATCCCACTTTTAACAGTCATCCAGCAAAAAAAATCAAAAGGACATTAGGGACTTGAACCATTTTTATATGAAATGAACCTAACAGACATACATACAATATTTCATCCAATAGCAGTAGAATATACATTCTTCTCAAACAAGCATGGAATACTTTCCAGGATGGATCACAGGATTGGTCACAAAACAAGTCATAACAAATTTACAAAGACTAAAATTATATCAAGTATCTTTTCTGTCCATAATGGTACAAAACTAGAAATTAATAACAGGAGGAAAGCTGGAAAATTCACAAATATGTGGAAATTATACAACATACTCTTGAACAACCAATGGATCAAAGAATAAATCAAAAGAGAAATTTAAAAATATATTGAGATAAATAAAAATGGAAACAGCATACCAAAACTTATTGGATGCAAGAAAATTGGTTTAAGAGGGAAGTTCATAGTGACAAACACCTACAAAAGAAACAAGAAAGATCTCAAATAAACAACCTAACTTTATACTACAAGGAGCTACAATAAGAAGAACAAACTAAACCCAAAGTTAGCAGAAGGAAGAAATTAACTAAGATCAAAGAAGAAATAAATGAAACAGACTAGAAAAATAACAGGAAAGAACAATGAAACTAAGAGCTGCTTTGTGAAAAGATAAAGAAAATTGACAGACCCTTAACTAGGTTAACTAAAAAGAAAAGACTGAAGACTACATAAATAAAATCAGAAATGAAAGAGGAGCCATTACAACTGATACCACAGAAATGCAAAAAATCATAAGAGACTACTATGAACAATTAAATGTCCCAAAATTGTTAACCTACAGGAAACGGGAAAATTCCTAGAAACATACAAGCTGCCAAGACTGAATTATGAAGAAATGGAAATTTTGAAAAAGCTACAGCTAGTAAGGAGATTAAATTAGTAATTTAAAATCTGGTAACAGGGCCAGCTGAGTGGCGCGATGGTTAAGAGCTGGCTTGGGATGCCAGAGGGCCCCGGTTCGGATCCCACATATGAGGGCCAGTGATGCTGC